CTCAAGCTCCAATTTGTTAAAAATGGCGAATGGGACGAATGCCCTCTTTTATAATTCTGCCCAAGCAGCCTCGATTCACGGCCGCGATTGGCAGCCTCGATTCACATCCTCGATTCTCGGCCTCAATCCTCAGCCTCGATCTTGTGAGCTCGATTTTGGGCCAGAATTTCCCGCAGAAAGGAAAAATTGCAGCAGTTGTTTTAAGTCCAACTTTTGATCTGTTAACCATCCGAAGCTCACCCGAGGCCCTCGGGACCTCAACCAAATATACCAACAAGTCCTAAAATATCATACGAACTTATTTGAAACCTCAAATCATATAGAACAATGCTAAAACCACGCTAAAATTTTCGGAACTGGATTCTGACTCCGGTATCAAAAAGTCAACTCCTCGGTCAAACTTCCAAACTTAAATTCTTGTTTTTAGCCATTTCAAGCCTAATTTAACTATGGACTTTCAAATAAAATTTTGAATAAGCTCCTTATGCCAAAATCACCATACGGAGTTGTTGGAATCATCAAAATTCTATTCCGGGGTCGTTTTCACATAATTAGACATCCGGTCACTATTTAAACTTAAACATTTTAATTTTTCATCAAAATTCCATATCTCGGGTTAGAGATCTTGGAATTTGATTCCGGGCATACTCCCAAGTCCCAAATCACGATACGCACCTACCGAAACTGTCAAAACATTAATCCGAGTCTGTTTGCTCATAATGTTGACCAAAGTCAAGCTTTACCTTTTAAAGCTAACTTAAGGAACCAAGTGTTACGATTTCAACCCAAACACTTCCAAATCACGAACAAACCATCCCCACAAGTCATAAATTATTTAAAGCACATACGAAAAGTTTTATTTAGGGTAACGGGGTTCTAAAAGTCAAAACGACCGATTGGGTCATTACAGATTGAATCGAATTAATTATGATTAGATTCGAACCGATCGGAATCGGAAAATCGAGGAAAATGCATACTACTTGACTTATTGGCGTGGTTTGAGATAAGTGACTTGTCTAACCTTGTGTGGGAAAAATTTCCCTTAAGATTGGTATTGGTATGAAAATATTGATGTGTTGATAGTCGTGTACATGAGGTGACGAGTTTGTACACTCACTAAATGTGGAAGATTATGTCTTTAAATTGCGTAGACCACTGTTGCATATTAATTAAATTATTTTATTCTGTTATATTCATCATCATTAATATATTCTCGTATTTTAAATTTGTCTGACATGTTCCTGCTAAGTGTTTTACCTATTTAGTTAAAACACTGCTTCTTTTGTTCTGTTCATTATTTGAAGGTTGGATTTCTTAATTTAAATATTAAAAAAATAAAGTATTTTACATTTAAAAATTTGATGTTAAATCAAGATGTTAAATTTGTGAAATATTATTATTTTTGCTGAATATTTTGTGAAGATTTTTGTATTCATTGAGATTGAGCTGTGAGCTCCGTATTGTGAAAATAATGAATATTATTCTGATGAATATTTTGCGAGACTTTGTACTCATTGTGATTGAGTTGTGAGCTCCTTATTATTGAAAATATTATTATTGTTGATTTATTTTGGCAAGTTAAAATATCTGGGCACTTGAGGTGCAAATTGTGATATATTGTGATATTGATACGCATGCGGTTGGTATAAGGTCTGGGTGTTGAAACTCATGCGGTGAGATAAGGGTGACTTGATATGCATGGCTAGTAGGGAAACTACTAGAAGTCATGCGGTGTGATAAGGGTGGCTAAAACGCGGGATGCTATTTCGGGAAAAGTATTTTCTTTAAAATTAAATGTGAAGGCTCCCGCGGTGATATAAGAAAATGAGATATTGTGAATTTACTTATGATTTGAGACTACGAGGCGGTACCTCAGGAGTGCTCTTATTGATATTTCTTTATGGTTGCATTGCTTTAGATTATTTTTGGTGTTTTCCTTAAAGTTGTAAATTTCTGTTTTTCTTCCGCGAGGTGTTAATTGCCCTTATTCCGTGTAGCTAAATTGTGACACACTACTTACTTGATTTATCCCCATTGTCATTATTGTTATTATATTGTTAAATGTTTCTCCTTGTCTTTTATTATTCCAGTAGGGCCTGACCTGACCTCGTCACTACTCTACCGAGGTTAGGCTTGACACTTACTGGGTACCGCTGTGATGTACTCATACTACGCTTCTGAACATCTTTTTGTGCAGATCCAGGTATATCTTATTAGACCAGGCATCAGAAAATTATCTGTACGAGGAGACTTCGAGGTATATCTACCAGCGTCCGCAGACTCCGGAGTCCCCTTCTATCTTATTATGTTGTCTTCCTTATTTCCTTTAGAGTCTGATGTATAAAAACTCTTAGAATAAATTCTTAGAAGCTTGTGACTTATTCCTACCGGGTTTTGGGAGTTGTGACTATTTGAATCACGATTTGATTTATTTTATATATTGAGATTTGAGTTTCAGTTTTGTATTCCGCATAATTGATAGGCTTACCTAGTCTTAGAAATTATGTGCCATCACAATATCCTACAGAGAAAAATTGGGGTCATGACAATAATCATTCAATCTAGTGCTAATTTTCCTCGATAGTAATTAGCTAAAAATTATTCGAAAATTGTTTAAATTCAATCCTTGTAGAGAGAATAATTTAACTATACTATCTTTAACTAGCGAGCAATAATTTTATATTATTGTTTGCACTCGTAAATCATGTTTGGTTTTCCTATCGAAATGGAACGATAAAAGCTTTTTTTACCTTCAACCAAAAATTTCAGAGTTTGAACCTTCAAAATAGAATCTTCTTTTAAAGAGATCTCGACAACTCTAATAAATTTTATACTAAGCAAATTTAATCGAATCAGTAAGTTTCGAATATCATTAAACAAAAAATATCCTAGGCGTTATTGGATCTAATTAGAGGTGCTGGTCTTAACTGGCACTTCAACCTGACACGAGCTCAGGGGTAGCTTTAGAACCGACGGTTTAATTGAACCCATAACTTTCGATGCAGAGTAAAATTTTATATGCAAAATTTATTAAAATTATAAAAACAGTAGATATGAACCCATAACTTTAAAAATATAATATATTCAATACTAAAAACTTTAAAAATTGAACTCATATAATTTAAATCTCGAATTCGCATACCACGAGCTCATTCTAGAACATGCTTGAATCTTGTCAAAATCGGACTCTTGTTAAGTTTTTCGGTTTTGATATCCTAAATTTGTTTTGCACTTGGTTTAGGAAATTGGAATAAATAAAGATACCAACAAGATCCTAATAAATAAATATTCATTTGCCTATTCCAATATAGGCAATCAATGTCACAGTTGTACTTATAGGAATCAACGTCGTACCAAATCTTCTTTCCCTGTCACCTCTCAGTTATTGTCAATGTCACCTAACCTACACACCTTTCTCAATTCTACCGAAAAACTCTTTGTCCGATTCTTCTAAACCAAAAATCTAGCAATTTCTTGACATTTTCCATATACCCTTTTAATCCCTTTAAACATTAGTATCAAAATTTCTCTCATTGTTTCATCTTAAAGACTCAAATTTTTATCAGTTTAGCAAAAGAAATTTGACATGGCTTGTTCTATAAAGCAATCACCTTTATCAATCACACCTTCTGATTTTATTCCCAAAAGGGGTTTTAATTTTAATTCAAATCTTGGATTTTTACCAAAAATAAAGATTCAAAACTGTGATTTTTCAACCAAGAAACCTCTCTACATATCATGTGTTACAAAGTTTGGTTCTATATCAAGAATTGGAACAATATGCAAAGCATATGAAGCTGATAAATCACAGCCTTTGGATGTAAACATTGAGTTACCAAAATCATCAGAGGCTGCTACTCAGAGGGTTAAAATCAGTATATATTTTGCTACGTGGTGGGCTTTGAATGTTGTTTTTAATATATATAATAAGAAAGTTCTTAATGCTTATCCTTTTCCTTGGTTGACTTCTACTCTATCCCTTGCTACTGGCTCGTTGATTATGTTAGTTTCATGGGTTACAAGAATTGCTGAATTCCCAAAAACGGATCTTGAGTTCTGGAAAAATCTGTTTCCGGTAAGAATTATGATTTTTTTATGTCAGTATTTAAGGTTCTGGTTTGGTGTTTCTAGGGGTTTTGCTGGGGTGGTGAGAGATTAAGAATTTTTAGGTTTTATTCATCTGTTGCAAAAACAAAAAGGCACTCCTACTATTTTTTCAATATTTTAAGTTGTAAAAGTTATGACTTGTAGTATTGTTATATAGTAATACTACTTTTGTAGTTTATGAATATATCACCATCACACTTGGTGGGATGGGATCGATTGGATCCCTCTATACTTGACTAGAGGTCTCGGATTCAAGTGTGAAATGGAGAAACACCTCCTCTAGTGGGCCTAGAGGTAGAGCTGGATTGTATGTTGTACGTAGAAAGCCAAAAAAAAAAAATTGTGAATATGTAAAAGAAGGGTAGCCTAGTGCACGAAACATCCTCGTTCATGCAAGGTCCGGGGAAGGACAACACCCCAAGGGGTGTGATGTATACAGCCTACCTGATGCAAGTATCAGTGGCTGATTCTACGGGTCGAACCTTGACGTATAGGTTACGGGGACACAACTTTACTGTTGCTCCAAGGCTTCCTTCTCTGGACGTAGAAAGCCAACAAAAAAAAGTTTGTGAAAATGTAATTTTGTCTCAATAAGATTGAAAGATTAACTTCGAACATGGGTTACTTTAAATATCGTCATTGAATGGAGAGAATATATGATTTATTTATTTACTTTAAATATCGTCATTGAATGGAGAGAATATATGATTTATTTATTTACTTTAAATATCGTCATTGAATGGAGAGAATATATGATTTATTTATTTACTTGTTTCAAATAATATATTTTTTTTAAGTTTGTGTTACTATAATTTTTGGTGGTGATGTAGGTTGCAGTTGCTCATACCATTGGACATGTAGCAGCAACTGTTAGTATGTCTAAAGTTGCAGTTTCTTTTACTCATATCATCAAGAGTGGTGAACCGGCTTTTAGCGTATTGGTTTCGAGGTTTTTTCTTGGTGAAACTTTCCCGCTTCCGGTTTATTTGTCGCTTGTGCCAATTATTGGTGGTTGCGCACTTTCAGCTGCTACTGAGCTCAATTTCAACATGACTGGTGAGATCAATTATGATTTACTTTACTTTTATCAAGCAATTACTTCGGTGATATTTGATTATCCATAGGTAAAATGGCTATATTGAGGTTAGCTTCTGATAGTTAGTTGATTTGCTATTACAGGTTTTATGGGGGCGATGATATCAAATCTTGCTTTTGTGTTCCGGAATATATTCTCAAAGAAAGGAATGAAGGGGAAGTCTGTTAGCGGGATGAACTATTATGCGTGTTTGTCCATTATGTCTCTGTTAATTCTTACACCTTTTGCAATTGCTATGGAGGGCCCCCAGATGTGGGCGGTCGGATGGCAAAATGCGCTCTCTCAGATAGGACCCAATTTTGTTTGGTAAGGACCGATAACTTCCACTTCTTATGACGTTTGCTCCCAGTATTTTTAGTTCTTAACCTATGCTATGTTGAATAGTTATATGATATTATACATCTATCTCTGAATATGTATCGTGGTTGTATCAGTTTGAAGTTGTTTTATATCTTCGTTAAAGTTTATTGAATCATGGTTTGTTTGACGATTTAAGAATGTTAATAATTGATTTAAATCATCGAGGTGTATCATATTAATCCCATTTTGTGTTAGCTTCCATAGGCATCAAGAAATGCAGGGTAAGGCTGTCATGTGACCAGGAGATCATGGGTTCGAGCCGTGGAAACTGCCTCTTGCAGAAATGCAGGGTAAGGCTACATACAATAGACCATTGTGGTCCGGCCCTTTCCCGAACCCCGCGCATAGCGGGAGTTTAGTGCACCGAGCTGCCCTTTTTTCCTTAGGCATCAACTGTATTAATGATGGCGCCTTAGTTTCTAGCTCTCTCTTGTATACTTCTGAGTCATTCAATAAATTATTTGATAGCATTTATAATGTAATTGCTGATGGAATTGTCTACCTGTGTGGTTATAACAAAAGTTTCTTCACTAATCATTTTGATGATTAGCCTAATAACCAATTTTTGTATTCGGATTATTAGGTGGGTGGCTGCGCAGAGTATATTCTATCACTTATACAACCAGGTGTCTTACATGTCCTTGGATGAGATTTCTCCGCTTACGTTTAGCATAGGAAATACAATGAAGCGGATATCTGTCATTGTTTCCTCCATCATAATCTTCCAAACACCTGTCCGACCCATCAATGCACTTGGAGCCGCCATTGCAATCCTAGGAACCTTCATTTATTCACAAGTGAGTTTCTTCTTCTTCTTCTTAACTATCGGTTTATACATTACTTGAAAATTTTGCTTCACCAATATTCTCTTTTGAACATGATGCCTAAACTTTTTTGCTGACTTCTCGTGTAACTCAGTTAAGGACTAATATTCAATAATGATCAGGTACTCTTAATTTGATGCCTTGTGAATTTAATATTCACAATTTTCATTTTTACCTCTTAGTATCATGTCATGTATGTTTTTCATCAGCTGTCTTCGGTCGTGCTTTGAATGTATGTTCTCTGTTTGTTGCTTCCTTCCAACTGTGATCAGTTTCATTTGCTCGAGTGTTTTATCCCTCGAGTAAGTCTATTTTCTGGTTGACTTTATACCATGAAATATATATCCCTTAAGTTGGAGATGTAAAGATAATTTATCGTGAATAAGCCGAAAATGACGACCTTACTTCTGTCTAGAATGTGAACTGTTGCAACGACCACAGAAGTGTTCTTATTAGTTCGGTTTACACAGTTCTTTCTTGTTATGTACCTTTCAGTAATTGATGGAAGCCAAATCAATAGACCAGTGCTGTCCATCACATCCTGAAATACTTTGTTGTACTAATCCTGTGCAACAGAGAGAACATATAATACATTTACGAGAGCGCCATCTACATATCAATTGCATTAAGAAGATTAAAACGAATACGAAGGCAGCCTCTGAATGATTTTGCAATAAATGTCTTGTCAATTACAATTTGCTGAATACATTAGTATTCTGCATTTCTGTAGCAAAGATCGAGCACCGTGTTTAACCATTTTCATTCTGTTTTCTTGAGCAGTCAAAACAATAAAGGCGATCAAGATCGACTGAGGAGAGGGAGAGTTACAAGATGTTGCAGTTTATTGCCTTTCTCGCGGTAGCTCAACCTTGTGTTAGAAGTTGGCCACTTTATGAAAATTAGATCTGTGGTTTGCATATTAGTTTTGAATTTGAAACCTCAGATCAAATTGTCACTTTCAAACTGGTCTATTTTGAAAAAGTGGACAACTTCTAATACGAGGTCAGAAAAATGACTATTTGTGGAAATGAGCCCACTAAATGCCGGCATTGGGCTCAAGGCCCATGATCTAATTATGGCCCTTTTTTGTTAGGCCTGAATTTTATTGGGATTGTTATACAAATAGCCGGTCTGATTCAATGTTTACTTTTTCTAGTCGATATACATATATTATATTTCCGTTGGCTGTTTATAGTTTAAGATATTAGGTGGGTGATTATTTGGATTAATTTTTCAATTTGGATTTGCACGATTGTTTTACTCATTTGAATGGTCTAGTCATGTTTTTTTTCCCTCGAATTGTGCACATTTGTTCATGAAATAGCCAAGAAATTGAGAGATCCAATATGACAACAAGAACAAAATCACTTATGTGGCTAAAGTATTCATTCTGTTTCAAAATATGTAGAATCTGTCAAATCTGTGATGATTGTCCTTCTTTCTTGTTACTTGAATGAAAAACAAGATCCCTAGCAAATTGATATGCAAATGCTATAGTTGTTCAAAATGGATACAATAATTAGTCGAGTGTCTGTCGGAAACGGTCTCCCTATTTGCACAAGGTAAAGGTAATGCTACGTATTCACTACTTTCTTCAGACTCCACTTGTAAGATTACACTAGGTGTGGTGTTGTTGTTATTGGACACAACAATAAGTTGTTGTTATTGGACACAACAATAAATTAGAGTTTTTGTTGATCGCACTGGTAAGTATTTACAATATGATCAGTACACTCAAGGAGATTCAAGTATTATTTTCAAATAAACATTGATTAAGAACATGGAAAAAAGAGTAATATGCCATAATTAGTTTAAAACATATTTCAGAAAGTTTACGACTTAACAGAAAATATACATGAAAATTTTTCCTAAACGTATTTTTCTTATAACTGATTTGGCCAGTGTTAGGAACAAGAGTTTGAGAATAATCCACTGCTATACCGTTAAAATTCTCTTCACATGAACACTACTTGTCAAGGGGCTAAGGGCACAAAGTGGCAGGAGTAGAATTTTTATCACGGGAATACCAAAAAAAAAAGTAAACGGTAAAGAAGCTAATGGAATTCATCATCTAATATATATATATAAATTTAGGCAGATTACGTAGTTTGTCCTCTGACCTTGAGGTCAAATACCTATCATACACTCCTTCAATACGGGCAACCTTTTACACATTCAACCTTTCAAAAGTGTGTCTAAGACACACCTGCGCGGTACTTGACCACTTTGTTTCCAACAAGTGTATGTCACACATCATTAATATCGTGACACGTGTCATTAACTTTAAAAAAAAAATTACGTTTAAAAGTCTCCATCTTCTTTAAAAAGGAACGGAAAAGGTTTAAATATGCCCTTATACTATACGAAATTGAGCATATTTGTTCTTCGTTAATACTTTAGCTCAAATATGCTCTTTCCGTCACATAGTTGGTCCATATATGCCTTTAGAGTTACACAGTTGGCCTATATATGCCTTTTCGAAACGGAATCCACCCAAACTAATTAGCTCTTTCGTTAATTGTATTAAAGTGTATTACAAACACTATTTTCTTTTTATTAGTACTTTTTTTTCTTTACCTTTCTCTTTTCTTTCTTCTTTTTTCTTTTTTTTCTTTCTTTTTCTTTCTCCCTTATCCGATTTCCTCTATTAATGATATCTTCTCCATTTTCATTACCAATTTCACTTGACAAAACTTATAAATTCCAATTACTAAGAAAATTCTCCTACAAGAATATTTTTATAGATCATATGTTTGTCAATTTTTTAATTTTTACTGAACATATATTTAGTTCTAAAAAAATTTAACAAAGTAAGATTGAAATAATATTTATGTAACAAAAAATCTGAAAATCCAACAAAACCGAACAATCCAAACCGATATAATTGATTTGGTTTGATTTTGATAAAAATCGAACCAACCCATTCCATGTACACCCCTAATCTACATAGTTAATAAAAAAATAAAAAATGTCCAGCTGAAAAAAGACTAACAACTCAAATTTATAACACTACAACTTGAACTCTAGGCTTTTAATCATTAAATTATATTTCTGGAAATAATTTAAATATTTTGATCTTTTGAGTATTATTAAAGGTTGAGATGTTTTTATTATTTTAAAGTTTAAACCATAATTTTTGGAACAATTTAATTTCGTTTATTTAGAGGGCCAATGAAATTGGAACTTGATTACTTTATGGGAGGATTTTCTTAATAATTAGAATTAATGAGTTTTGTCAAGTGAAATTGGTGACGAAAATGGAAAAGATATCAGTAATGGAGGAAACAGATAAGGGAGAAAAAAAATGAACAAAAAAGAGAAGAAAAAAAATAGAAAGAAAAGAGAAAGGTAAAGAAAAAAAGTATTAATAAAAAGGAAATAGTGTTTGTAATATACTTTAATACAATTAAAGAAAGACCTAATTAGTTTGGGTGAATTCCGTTTCGAAAAGGGCATATATGGGCCAACTGTGTAACTCTAAGGGCATATACGGACTAACTATGTGACGGTAAAGCCATATTTGAGCTAAAGTATTAACGGAAAGGCAAATGTGCTCAATTTCATATAGTACACATGCATATTTGGACCTTTGCCCAAAAAGGAAAAAAGAAATAGAAAAGCTCCCTCATCTTCTTAATCTACCCAAGACACCATTTTAGCCAAAATGGCTCTAAACGGTAAAAATTCTAAAGTTTCTTCTTCCTTAAATAATTTAAAAGACGAAAACCAACGATCCAACAATCCAAATAATTTAATATTTGGTGCGAATTAAAAACTAGATTTTGTTGACTTGATGGGCAATATTTATTTGTAGATGCTTTCTTTCTCTAAACTTTTCCAACCAGTTTTCTCTAAAAAAAAATTGTTATAATTTGGAGTTAAAAATTTCATTTTGAACCACCTGCTCATTATTTGAAGTCTCTTCATTTAACTCCTAAATCCCTTACATTCGAAGGTCTGATTTAGAGCTTTTCTACATTGACAGTGCTTGAAAATTTGAATATTAGGGATTGTAATAAAGAATTTGAAATGGGTTTAATTGATTTGGTGCAAAATAGTGGCCTTTTACCTTTGTAGTTTATGGGTTTTATCTTTGAACGAGGGAAATGAAAAACAATTATGGTGTGCACGGATTGAGGTAGGTGATGTTGGTGGCGACAATGGAAGATGGTGGTGGAGCAGCGATGAAGGAATAGTGAAGATGGATGCTAAAAAATGTTTTTTAAAAATAAATTTAAGATTGATTAAAAAATTTGATGAAAAAAGAAGATAAATAAAAAATAAGAAAATAAAAACAACTGGACACATGGCGTCAATTTATAGCTCCATACACAAAAAGTTACTGCTCACTCGCTTTTATTGGATGTAAATCACGCGATATCAGGTGAGCAAAAGATGTGTGTTTTAAACACACTTTTAAAAGATTGCGTGTGTAAAAGGTTGCCCGTATTGAAAGAGTATGTCATAGGGATTTGATCTCAAGGTCGGAGGTAAACTATGTATTCTGCCTAAAAATTAACCTTATTTTTATCAACCCGTTCCCCCCGACGCCCCCTATAGCTCCCGCAGATGGGCACAAACCTTGTCACCAATGTCACAAACAATCTCGACGAAGTCCAGCTAAGATTAATCATGATTTATGAGAAAAGTGATAACACCTCCACAAAAGGGAAAGGTAGTAGGAGATCTCTTTCTTTTCTTCCTTTTGTTTTCGTTGAGAAATGATAGAATTCGTGCCGAAAAATTCCATATTGGACAAAACGTCAACCTAAAAGAGCCTGTCTGAGAATAGGAGTGGAGAAACAATAAGTCTAAAGCAATAACTGGGGCCTGAAATAGACTGGCTTTGTGGATTATTGTCTTAGAAATTATTGAAGCGAAGAAAGAGCGGTTAAGTCCAAATTTCGACCTTGATGTGACCCAAATTTCATGAAAAGGGTGAAAGATTGAAAGATTGCTACTAATGCTATCTAGTGGAATCGAATCAAGAGTAGTATTTTAGTATGAAATACTTGATCCAAATTATGTATAGAAAGGTAAGCTTAAAAGACTTGATCACATTTTTTATGATAGCCTATTGATAAGNTATATATTCCTGTATGTTATATACAAAACATATACAAATTTTATACATTTTTTGTGGTTACCGGATGTAATAATTTCGACCGCGAGGTAAAAGTGATCTTTGCCGAGAATATATAGGTAGTGTTAGGATTTCAATTCATGTCAATTCGTAGACTCCACCTAGTGATTTAATTTTCCACAAGGCCTATAGTTATAATAGCCATGAATTGTATATATAAGGAGATTCAAATGGACACTAATATCACACATTGGATTTGAACCGGTGATCAAACAAAATTTTTAAATCCCCTTTGTCACTATATTAGCAGTTTTACTTATATAAAAGAGATTCAACAATTTATATATAATGAGAAAGTTCGTTTTCCTCCATTTGCATAGTATAATTTTTTGATGAACGAGATTCAATTAATTATCTTGTTGTGTATGATGCTTTTACATGGCTTTTCGATGTTGTTCTGTCTTGTTTCTTGTTATTATTGTGGTATCTCTGTTTGCCTGAGCCGAGGGTCTATTGGAAATAATTTCTCTACCTCCACAAAGGTAGAGATAAGCTCTGCTTACACACTACCCTCCACATACCCCACTATGTGAGATTATACTGGGTATGTTATTGTTGTTGTTGTTGTTGTTGTTGTTTGAGATTCAATTAATCCCCTTATTCTTGCTCTAGCTCCGCCCTGATGGTTATTGCTTTGTTTCTGTCCAACCACTTTATTTTGCTACCTTCTTAAAAATGAATGGAAGATATAATAGAGGAAGCAATTAGTCATACAAAATGGAATACTATAATTCATGGAAATCATCGTTAGATTCGCATCAAGTACTAAATTGACTAATATTGGAAGCTTATTTAATATTTACTACAATAGATTCGATTAATTCCTTATTCACTGCTCACATAAAAATTATGCTCTGATCTTGTTTATCCTAAAAACGGATAACAATTAAATTTGTAAGTATTTTAAAGATACGTGGATTAATTCAATACAAATGATAAATTGTGTTAGATTAAACAGATAAAAGAAGTGATAAATTATCAAACCAATCAAGATAGGTGATCCCGGACTTAGTAACAGCCTTAATGAGATCCCGGACTCACAATAACGAAGCACTGATGAACAAGAATAAGAACTTTGAATAACAGAGAAAATAAGAGTATATTACCTTGATATGTGTGTT